TCAGACTGGTCAAGATATAAAGCATCTACCTGAATAAAATGGACAAGTTCCACCTCAAAATGAACTTCGTCAACACCTTCTACCACAGACATTAAAGTAGATTCTGTATAATATTGGTTTTTAACATAAATGACTGCTTTCTCTCCACGTGGCATGGTTGCTATTGCCAGTTCGAGACCTTTGGGTACCTAGAGTTGGTGAAAATAGAATGCATGATTAGATACATTGCGGTCAAGATAAAAGGAAATTCAAACCCTGAAGTTTTGGACAGCAAGACTAAGGAGCTTGGCATCCCAACTCAATTGAAAATGGAACTCCAAATTATACAAAAAAATTATCGAAGGTAAAACACCTGTGATCAAGAGCGTATAGAAAAAATTTCAAGTAGGGAAATCATTGCCGAACCTCAGGTTTACCAAATGTGAAGAAATATGGTTCATCCTTGGTCCGCGATAGAATCACTTTGCCATCTCCTGACTTCGCTGAAATCCTAGAATAAATCATAATTCAGATTACACTTACAGACACACATATTTAGAACTATCAATGAAGCATCCATGGGAACTAGAAGCCTCAGGAGAAAGGAGGGTTTCTACCAAGCTTTTACTTCATAAGGTTCCCGAGGTGTTTCCCAGCTTTGTCCTTCTTCTATAACCTGTTTAAAATTCCAAAACAATCCTTTCACTTATTACATCTAATACATTTTAGCTCAATAAGCCATTTGAAACCACATCTCGTTATAAAAATTCCTATTCTGTAGTTGCACTATGCTTGAAAATTGTAAGCTAACAAAATTGCAGCTTACTACACTGATTACAGCATTGAATGAAAACACCAGATAGTGATCAGACACAGATGCACAAGCACACATCTTACACAAGTGTTCAAATAGATTACTGAGGGTGTGGGTGTGGGTGTGGGTGTGGATGAAGGAAAAATAACTGTTAAGCAGCAAGCTGTGTACCTTCTTTAGGACTCCCAAATCATCAGTGATCACCTGAGAATGAAAATGAAAAAGATTAGTTTTTTGAGACACATCCTACGATAAATGAAACTACCAAAATTTCTAAAAGAGAGGGAAAAATAGGAATTCAAAGGTCTGACAGAAAAGCTTTCACGTAACTTCAGGAAATCTAGTGCTGATCTGAAAAGGAAAGACATTAAATGTTTGCTAACAATTTCTTCTAAGTAGAAAATTTCTTTTTGTAGTATTACCACTCTTCTAGTAGCAATTTGCAACAATCAGATGCAGTAAAAAAGATAGGAATACCATACTACAACAACAACTACACCTCAGTCCCAATCAAGTTGGGGTCGTCTATATGATTCACCACTTCTTCATTTAAGCTCACTTCATATAACCATCATACTAAACAAGGGACAACATAAGTGATATCAAGAGGTACCATAGTACGGAATAAATAGCAGCACATACAGCTCCAACAAGGCTATGTAGGCACTAATTCATATGAGTACAGGACAGAAAGCACCAAGAAACTAGAGGAGCAGACTGATATGGATTGCAACTTTCATTTCATTGACGTTAAAAAGGATGTAGGAGCATTCTTGCCTTCACTTTGGAGAATTCAATCAACTCAATCTCAAAATGAAGCTCAGAATCCTTGGGAAAGTTATCTGGAGCTGCAACTGGACAATCCTTCTCTCCATAGTGCATTTCGGGTTTCATTTTGAACTGAGGTAACATTAGGCGACAAACAGTGAGCTATGAATATGATTTTTCATATCATCAATGTAAAGATGTAAGAACAAAGAGAAAATGAATTCACAAGTTCATATTAAGGGGCTTATAAAATGATCAGAGATTATTTTTTCTATTTTATCCCCTTTAACAGCATCTAAATATTGGACACGTATTATATTCTGAAGAGGTTACTAAAAAGTAGATTTAACATGTTCTTGTCATGAAACTAATAAGAAATTACTGGAGAAAATACAAAAAAATTCACAATTTTGAGATGATTTAGCAGAGAAATATAACATGTTATAAATTGTTTACTTTTGAAGGACTTTAAATATACAGATTCAGGTCGCAATAACTAAATGAGAAGTTCAAACGTATATACCATTGCAACTTCACCCTTCAACATTGTTGGAATCCCCTCCAGCAATCCTAAAATGATCTTGCTTTTCCCAATAACATGCCTTATTGGGGTACCCTTGCCTGAGTAATAAAAATGTAAAAGAGAAGAGATTTCAATGCATTAAGGCAAGATTGGCAAACTCCAAATTACAGAGTTCATGTTCAGTATATTTAAGAGAGTGTAAAACTAAAAAGTGGCGCAATCATTCCAAGAAACGGAGTTTAAAAAAAATTACTGAAATGATGGCAACCGAATGCGCAGTTCTAGTGCAACGATGGAAATACGACTGAGTTAATTTATAAGACAAAATCAAAATGTAGAAGTGGAGATTTTATCTGTTAATCTTATCAGCATATATTTATTCGTGGTACTATTTTATTACTCAGTATTCTGTATTCCAGAGAAGAATAATGAAGTAAGCAGCATGTTTATATCCCTAATCCTTCTGCATAAGTCGTTTCCCCTAAAACCTATAGCTTCTCAAAGGTTCCACATATCAACCCTACCTCCAAACTCTGACCGTGTCGATTCAACTGTAACTCCATCCAGTGTTCTAACTGTACAATGATATATTACCTGTTCAAATTCATCAAAAACTTAATAAATAACCAATATTTTTTTCCTACCTAGAACTCACAGAAGCTGATTTTTGCATCAATATGAATCCTCATCATCATCACAAACACATAATTCAGAAAATAAAATGTACAAGTATACCTGATTACCCTCAGCAGGTTTTGATTCACCACCACCAGGCCTCACAATAGCTTTCATCAAACTTCCAGGAACAATCTTTTTTCTTCTGCATACAAGTCATCATTGAACAAAATGTGACTAACAGTAGGTAGTAAAATGTAGTCTCGCTTATCCTTCCATATTAGTAACTGTAGTATTACTCCTGTAGTTTCATGTACTTCGATTATCTTATTATTCTATTATCCTTTTTCAATGGTCTGTCATGCTTGCTATAGTATTCTGCTATTGCTTCTTCACTTACATTATTTCTTTTTCCTTGAGCCGAGGGTCTATCAATAAAGAACCTCTCCACCTCCCAAGGTAAGGATAATGTTTGTGTACATTATACCCTCCCCAAACCCCACTTATGGAATTACACTGGGTATGTTGTGGTTGTGGTTGTTATTGTTGGGTTAATTCTTAAGAGAATAATGACATTTTTTCATCCCTGGTCTCTTACTTCTTGAAAGAAAGTGGATAATAGCTAAAAAAAACACTTCTATTTTTATAAATTCATGAACAAAGTAAACTGACTTGATCCGAGGGTCTATCGGAACGTATCCTACCCTCCCAGGCCCCACTTGTCTTGTCGGATTACACTAGCTGTGTTATTGTTCTTGTCGGATTATACTAGCTATGTTGTTGTTCTTGTTGCATGAATAAAGTGAACTGGGTCAATTCTAATCACAATAAAAATTTGATCTTTTGTCATCCTCAGTCTCTTGTTCTTGAAAAAAAAAAAATGATTAACAGCTAAAAAAACTATTATTTTCATAAATTCATGAGAAAAAAAATTGAACTGGATCAATTCTTAATAGAATAAAATTTGACCTTTTATCATCCTCAGACTCTGGTTTTTTCTTTTCTGGTTGCTTAACTTGTTGCTCATGATCTTCATCAGCTACTACTGCCATTTCCCTCTAGCTACTGCAAAGTGTAACAATACATTCCAAGAACAGATTTTTATAACCAAAACTACAATTAGGATAAAAAATTGAGCAAAAACACATAACCCCACTTAATAAAAACATACAAAAATCAAGAATTTGAAGAATTACCTTATTGGGTATGTGTAAAATTGGAGTTAAAGATTGAAGAAATTTATCAAGAATGGCTAGAAAATCAAGTGGGTGTTGCTGTTTGATATTCTTGGTGACCAACTAATCACTAAAAGACTATCAAAATTCCAACTTTTGGCTCTGATTCTGTGAGTAGTGACAAAATTTAGCTGAAAATTTCGATTTCATTAGAACAAGAATGGGCTGGAAGCCAGGGATTTAGTGGGCTGCTACAGTTTGACCATAAACTGCTGGACCAAAAAATATGAATATTTTCACTAGATTTTCCTAATTTTAATTTTTAGGATAAAAATAATTCTCAAATATTTTAAATAAGATTGTAATGTTTTAAAAGTATAAAAAAAAGAATTCTACTTATTTACCATATTTAATAGGCGTTTGGCCATAGATATCAAATGATTTTCACTTTATTTGATTTTGGAATCATGTTTACGCTCGAATGTAAAGATAACTTCATAAGCGAAAAAATGAGTTAGAAAATAACCTGTTTTTTTTAATTTGAAATACAATTTTAACTTGGATTTGTAATTTTCACCACAACTTAAGTGATTTTTAAATAAAATGAAAAATTATTTCGAAAAAAAATGAATACCCAAACGGAAAATGTATGGAAGTGTGTAGTTAATAGAAAAAACTCTTTTGACTTTGCAAATAGTAAAAATCTTACAAATTCAATATTTAAAACTATTTTTACTTTTTCTATGTGAACTTTTGATAGAAAAATCTATCTATTTCTGAATATTGTTAGAAATATATTACTCCTGTTTCAATGGCTAATGCAACTAATTTTGATAATAACAATTTCAGTGTAATCTCACAAGGAGCTGGGAACCTAAATAAGCCACAAAAAACATAAAAGTGACCAAAATAAGTCACTACTTTAGATAAGGAGGACGTTCAAACATAGTTGATAGCACCTACAACATAAAGTCTTCTATATTTGTAGGACGTTAAATGTAGATGCTATCAACTATGTTTGAACGTCCTCCTTAAATAGAGATTGGAGGATTTTTCAGTATAAAAAAATAAAAATACATATTGTAATAGTTTTTTCCGTTTTTATGATATGTCAAATCAATATAATTGTATGACAAACATTGCAAAAGCTTCATAAAAAGATAAAAACGTGAATTATTCCTCTTTGTAAAGTGTAATTTTTTCTTACACTTTATAAAGTGTAAGAAAAAGTTCCACTTAATAAAGAGGAATACTTTACGTTTTTATCTCTTTATGAAGTTTTTGCAGTGTTTGTCATACAATTATATTGATTTGACATATCATAAAACGGAAAAATTATTCCACTATGTATTTTTATTTTTTTATTCTGAAAAATCCTCCAATCTCTATTTAAGGAGTACGTTCAAACATAGTTGATAGCACCTACATTTAACGTCCTACAAATATAGAAGACTTTATGTTGTAGGTGCTATCAAAATATGTTTGAACGTTCCTCCTTAAATAGAGATTGGAGGATTTTTCAGAATAAAAAAATAAAAATACATAGTGGAATAATTTTTCCGTTTTATGATATGTCAAATCAATATAATTGTATGACAAACATTGCAAAAGCTTCATAAAAAGATAAAAACGTGAATTATTCCTCTTTGTAAAGTGTAATTTTTTCTTCCACTTTATAAAGTGTAAGAAAAAGTTCCACTTTACAAAGTGTAAGAAAAACTTACACTTTATAAAGTGTAAGAAATAGTTCCATTTTATAAAGTGTAGGAAATAGTTCCGTTATATATTAAAATATACACGTTATGAGACTAACGGAAAACGTTTAGAATATTAGATAAAGTGAAATTTTTTCTTCCACTAAGCCTATTTTAGTTACTTCCTAAAGTAATGACTTATTTTGGTCACTTTTATGTTTTTATGGCTTATTTAGGTTCCCTCCTCTCTCACAAGTGTATTTAGCAAAAGTAACGTCATAGAATGTTTCCTATAGACCCTCGACAACTTTTTGTTAATAACATCATGTAAGAAATATGAACTTGCAAAAATTTAAGAAAAGCTATAGTATTAGCTAAAGAGATTATGGAATGCTCTAAGTTGATAATACAAAATGACAAACTACCATAAGTGAACACAGAAAATAGTTTCATCTGGACCATATTATTCATCACACAATATTTTAGAGCCTCTTTAGTTACAATAGCTTTCGCCTCCATGTCTGTAGTAGCATGAATTTCCTTGGGGCGTGTGCATAGATAAGATCATTAAACAGCCTCGCTACCCCCACAAAGGCAGGGGTAAGGTCTGTGAACATTCTACCATCCCCAAATCCCAATTGTGGAATTACACTAGATACGTTGTTGTTATGGTGCATAGATAAGATCACTCGATGCCTCGCATATACAAAAGCCATAAGAACTCTTCTGGGGATTTCCTGGACATACACCATCCATCCGTGTTGCACTTCAACCAATTCATTGGTGGAAAAGCCCGAAAAGAACATTCTTGCAAATGGAAAAACTGTTCGGATCACATCTCTGTCTGCTTATCTTCCTATTTATTAAGAGACAAGTGTACTCGAGATACCTTCCTATCTCTTAGTTTCAGCAGGGCTATTGAACTTGGTATGGGTCATCTTTGAATGTCACAGCTGAAGCTTACTCGTGTTCAATTTGTAGTCTCCATCACTTAAGGTAGGGGTACGGTCTGCATATACTCTACTCTCCCCAGACCCCACTTGTGGGATTACACTGGGTATGTTGTTCTAGTTGCCATCATATAACTCCTGCCAGATCCTCGAGGCAACTAGAGATGTACTCACTTCCTCTAGGACTTTTACGCCTTTTTCTCAACTATCAGAGAAAAAAGATGGGCTTTCATCACTGCTGTATATAAAGATTGCAATCTTGATGGACTAGTTTAAGACATCTGTAAGACACCTTTTACATGACCTGAGGGAAGCGCATTGACATGTTGAGATTGCAGTTCTAAAATTCTTCAACGAATGAAATGTAATACACTGCAAAACGCCAGAAAAGGAAATAAGATAATATAGATAATGAACACAGTGAAACAAGAAAGGACCAAGGTACAGGACCCCTTGCTTTAAAGAATCCAAACAACGAAAAAAAATTAATGAGAGGAAAAGGCTAAAATTAGATTGTAGCAGTGAGGGGCTATACACGCATTTGTAAAGTTGATATGTGAGCTAACTCGTTTCCCTTTTGGACCAGCCGTTTGGGCCTGGTCTTGTTATGTAAAGACTGAGGTTTCTTTTGCTTTATTTCAATAAAATCGGTCCAGTCATGGGACCAAATTGAAAAAAAAAATATATGCCTAAAATAACGAGACTAACTTGGTTATGCAAAATCAGACATAATGAATAGTACTAGCAAAATAAACCAAAATATGTAGCTAAAAGTTCAAACCACTTCCTATATGGCATTTGACTATGGATAGGTTCCATTAAAGCATCTAATATTACTTGGATAGGTTCCATTAAAGTGTCAATATAATATTTGGATAGGTTCCATGATAGCATGAATATAGTATAAGTACTTTATCAAATCAACAATCAAACGAGAAAAGAAGACTACGATCAACATTGATCAAATAAAAAGTAAAGAATTATCATTAATAGGAGTAGACATATCAGTGGACGTGGTAGACCCGCTCAAGGTAGTGGTGCATTTGCTGAATTAGAAACATTTGGCCCATAAGATAGTTCATGCTCTAATTGCAAAACACTCTCCTTTATTTTATTTTTCTTACTTTGTTGTGCTAAAAATTAATATTTCTCTACGAATCAAGTAAATCATTTGTGCTTTTTGGTATACGTCTCGTATGCAGACATGTTTTGCGTCCTAACATTTTTCCTTTATCAAAAAAGTGTCTTGTTTGTGATAAGATAATAGAACAAAATATCACGCATCATTGTACACAGATACTTTTATGCACACAAGGTCCATATAGACTATTGGCTTTTTCTCTTTTGGTATATTATAGACTAAGAATGAATATAATCATATAACCACAAGAAGAAGATGAACAAGGATAAGTAAAGGAACTTAAGTCTTTTTCAAGCAATTTTGTGAGGTAAAGAAAGATCACCTGGCAACTACGAGACATCCATCTCACAGCATCATTCACAAGCCAGGAGAAACTTGAGCTGATCCATTCAATATTATTTGGATAACATCTTGCATCATTCTTACCTCTGCTTCTATAAACCTCGTTTATATCTAGCCGCATGAATTAAACTACCACTCAAATAATCGTTATTCACAGTGTAATTAACTTCATGGAATAAAGTTCACCTACAATAAGGCAACAGTTACGAAGCAGCCTGATCAGAACTCCAGCTAGATTCATAAACTGAAAGAATGGACTGCCTCAACTGCAATTTACAACCCAAACCCCCAAATGCCAACATGATGAACCCCAATGTATGCGCTCAAGTGATCCATCATTACTCATAAAAGCAGGAAAGATGAATAAATTCACATTCACATAACCCCTCGAAGTTCCATGGATCACCATGAGACTCATTTCCCAAGGAGAGCAAGGGGAGCCTACACGGTTTCATCAATTTGAGCTCTCTGATTACATGAAAGACTTCTTGGGCTGACGTTTTGAGCTCCTACTTAAGCTACCAACTAGTGAAGTATAAGTAGCATAGTCGTGAACAAGCCCCATTTCACCACGTAGCTTATCATATTCATCAGGATTCCCATGCTTGCAATGCCCTTCCAAGAGAATGTTATAGGTAATGTCATCCGGATTCAAACCCAGATTAAGCATCGCTTGTAATAGCATTTCAGCATTTCTCATCTGTCCTTGTCTGCATAGACCATTCAAAAGCACATTGTAAGTTATAACATTAGGTGCATGTCCATTACTTTGCATCTGCCTTAGCAACTTAAAACCCATCTTAATATCTCCCTTCTTACAGAAACCATCGATAACCACAGTATAAATGGGGTCATCAGGCTTTAAACCGACATTCAACATTTCGGTTAAAATTCTCTCTGCATCAACTGTTCGCCCTTGGCGACACAAACCTGTAATAAGGGCTGTATATGCTACATCATCAAGTTCAATTTTGTTATCAACCATCACTTTTTTTATCTCAAATGCTCCATCTAAATCTCCCTCCTTACAACATCCATCAATAACTGTTGTGTATGTGATCTTATCGGCCTTCAAGCCCTTTTCAACCATCACATGAATGAGCTTCCTTGCTTCCTCCAAATCCCCACTCTTACAAAGTCCATTGACAAGTGTGTTATATGTGATTAAATCTGGTTCCACCCCTTGCTTCAGCATTTGTTGATAAGTGTCCATAGCCAAAGCAACACTACCATCCTTGCAATGGCCATTAATCAAAGTCGTGAAAATAACAACATTAGGAACCAAACCTTTAACACACATCTCATTAAACAACTCATTCGCATCGCTCATCCAAAACTTCTTGCAAAGACCGTTGATTAAAGCACTATACGTATAAACATCAGGGGAAATTCCTCTTTCCTCCATTTCTTTTTTCAACCTATACCCTGCATCCATATCACCTAATCTACAATACCCATTAATCAAAGTATTGAAACTAACAACACTAGGTCTCAAATTCCTCTTCCACATCTCAGTAAACACTGACCGAGCTTCCATCATTTTACCTTCCTTACAAAACTTACTCATCAAAACATTAAAGAAATACACATTTGCAGGATGCCCATATTCCAAAAGCTCCTTATAAAAGTCAAAAGCTACCATTGGTGAATTAAGCTTCATCAAATACTCAAGAACCTTAGTACAACCTTGAAATGGGAACTTAATTTTATGCTTTTGAATAAGTCTAAAGCACTGTATAGCATCAGAAACAAACCCCAAATCCAAATAAACATCAATAAGTCTATTCAAAACATTCACAAAAGATGTAAAGTTTGTACCTTTAGCTTTCAAGAATGCTTGAAATACAGTAAAGGCTGAGTCTTTACCTTTCCTTGAAACAATAGTGTTGATAAAAGAGTGACCTTGTGGATACATTTTGTGGGTGTAAAGAAAAAGGGTCATAGTGGAATAAGTATGAAGTGTGTGGCAAAATCTTGAAGGGTTGGAAGTTGAAAGCCATGTGAAGAAGGAGAGAAGAGAAGAAGGGGGTAAAGAGTGAGGATTAAGGTTAATGAGATTGATTATGTGATGAGGTTTAAGAGATGGAAGGAGGGGTTTGAGGGAAACTTGAAGGGGTTTAGAAGGAGAGTTTTTTATGGCTTCTGAGAGGGTTTTGAGTATTGGGTCTGAT